ATTTGTTGGGTCTTCTGAACACCGCATAGTAGAATAACTTTACTGACAACGATGTTTGTTTAGAATGTAAAAAGACTTCTGAGTGCCTGGGTGGCTCAGTCAGTTAAGCATCTGACTTCAGCTCGGCTCATGATCTCGCGGTTTGTGAGTTCGAGCCCCGCGTCGGGCTCTGTGCTGAGAGCTCAGAGACTGAAAAGCCTGCCTCAGATTCGGTCTCCCCTTCTCTCTCTGCCCCTCCCTACCCCGCCCCCTCTCAAAAATAAACATTAAAACCAAAAAAAAGAACTTAAAAGGACATGAAAGATCTCCATGCCTATGGCAACAACATTACAAACTCAGACAATACAAATTCATAATTTTCTTGGGGCCTACTAGAGAACAGATGAGCTGAATTCCAGAGGTTAAATGCCCACGGTGGAAGGGTGGCTGGTATAGGAATGAGCACACCCCACAGACTGAACAAGGTCAGGGCTTCAGACGACAAAATGGCACCGCAGGAGGGACTGATATCTGGCGTGCTCCCAAACACAAGGACAGATCGCCTGGGCCTGCAGCTCTCTCCCTATACCCCACCTCCAAGTTCAGGTGGGTACTTAGCCCCATGGGTTCTAGAACTCTACTGAAGCAAACCTTTGGAACTGCAACCAATCCTTTCCCAGCTCAAAAGCAGACATAATCAGGGGTGCCTGGGTGGCTCAGTAGGTTAAGCATCTGACTCTTGGTTTCAGCTCAGGTCACGATCTCACAGTTTTTGAGCTCGAGCCCCATGCTGGACTCCACGCTGATAGTGCAGAACCTGCTTGGGATTCTCTCTCCCTCCCCACGCATGTCCTCCTCTCTCAAAAACAAATTTTTAAGAAAGGGACATACTCTAAAAAGACAGAGGGCTGGAGGTTGGGGGTTGATGAACTCAATCTAACTAAAGGTAGAAGCCAACCATGTCAGGAGAAATCAGAGAGGTAGCCCTTCATCTTAACTGCCCCAAAACAAAACAGAAAAAAAAAAAAAACACACAGAACAAAGACACTTCACTCCTTGGAAGACAAGTATATACACTGTATATTAGAGCATCCTATACACGCAATGCCTGAAATCCAACTTTCAAGAGAGATGTACGAACACCCACTGTGACGGGAACGGTCATGAGAAGGAGACCCACAGGAACCAGCATCAGTAGAATTAGCACAGACAGGAAATAAAGGGGCTTGCACCTTTGGTTTCTAAAGCCTCATCAAAGAAAGCACAGAAAGTGCTGGCAAGTACGGGCAGAGTCAGAGCTCCAGCGCAGACCCGCTGGTCTGGGCACTCTCCTTGTTCCCGCTTTCTCCTAGGCTTTCTCTCCAGGGAAGCCAGCAGAGTCAAGGAGGAAGACAAAGTGTGCAAGAACACACGGGCAGAAAAGACAGTAAGAGGGTCGTGGGGGTTCCCAGCTCAGGCACCCCGCACTGCACCCAACGACACACTGTCGCCAACACCCCCAAAGGGAACACTGGAAACCCTTTTAGTTGCCACGAAATCATTTTCAATCACATGGTAACTACTTCGACCGGTAAAATCTGACATTAAAAAAAAAAAAATTCGGCCCACGTACGTGCACGTGCAAATGCAGACACACGTATCTACAGATAGATTTTCCTTGACTCCTGATCACAGTGACCATGGTCAACGCAAAAACGGTTGCCCTCTTCCCGCAGGTAAGTCGGCCGATTCCCTCAGCCCGGCCCGTTCGTGAAACTTTGTGACGTGCCACCGCATACCCACTGCCCCTTCCTGTCACCACTCTGCAGCTCATGTGGAAAAAGAATTCAAGGGAGTATAGGCTCCCCGCACGTGGAAGGTGGTAACGTGGACACTGTAAGGTGAGTCAACGAGAAGATTGTCTGGTGAACCAGCAAGTTCACACAAACTGAAAAGGAGGAGTTGGAGGCTCAACCTGTGTGGATTCACTCAACAGATCCATGTGATTTGACCGCAACGGCGTGATTTATGAGAAATACATACTTTACCATTAAGATATGTATTTGGTCCCCACTCGTGATTCCTGATTCACGGCTCCCCAAACCCCAGCATTTCCTAAGCGGTGAGTGATACAGAGGTCTGTTAAGAGAGGGGACCTTTGGGAAGCACCCAAGGACAGTGGCCAGGTGCCAGGAGAACCAACCACGTGAGCAGTGGACTGGAACCTTCAGTCCGACCCCCCCCACCCCACCCCCGACCTTGAGGAAGGTGAGAGGAGCTAGAGGTTCAATCAGCCAATGGCCAATGACCTGGTCGATCATCACTATGTAAGGATGCCTCCATAAAAACCCAAAAGGACAAAATTCTAAGAGCTTCTGGGCTGGAAGACCTAAGGAGATGCAAAGTGACTGGCGTGGAGACAGAGTGGAAGTTCCGTGCCCTTTCCCCATACCTCACCCTACACCCCTCTCCATCTGGCTGGGGATCTGTATCCTTTATCAAACTGGTGAAGGTTAAGTGTCTCCCTGAGTTCTGTGAACCACTCTAACAAATTAGTCAAACCTGAGTGGGATTTCATTGGAACCTCCAATGTGTAGCCGGTGCCCAAGGAATAGCGGGCTTGTGGGTGGCATCTGAGGTGGGTGATAAGGGGACAGCCTTCCAGGACTGAGCCCTTAACCTGTGGAGTCTCATGCAATCTCTAGATAGGTGGTGTCGGAATGGAGTTAAATTCTCAGAACCCTACTGGGGACCGAAATCTGCTAGGTGTTTGGGGAGCGAGGGAAGTACTTACCTGCCATGTTGGAACTGGGTCCAGAAACCACCCACCCAGCACAGTGAGACAATGAAAAATAGTACCAAGGAATAATTCTGACACTATCCTGAGGAAATATATTTATCATATGGACACAGAGACCAACTGATAGGAGTCTAATTTCATGTTTTGTTCGTTTTTATTTACTCCTGACTCCTACTGAACCCAAAGTAAAACTAGAAAATACCTTCCCACCCAAGAATTCAAACGAAAAGCAAATCTCCACAAGTCTCCTTTCCTGCTTCATCCTACCTCAGAAAGCTCAGCCCCCTTCTGAACGCCTCGGCCGGCAGCTCTGGGACGATAAATTTCCAGCCCGTCCTCTGGATTTTTGTCTTTTACTATCACTGCAAATTCGGCAGATAATAAAGTCCTTAACTACCCCCAAACCACCTCCCTTCCTAACTCCTGTTCTATTACCTCCAGCCTTGGTTCTCCAGACAGTAGTGAAAAGCTGCTCACCTTTGCTTCAAAAGGCCCTTGTGCGCACGTGAACCATCGTATGTTCCCAAGTCCAGCCCTTCAATGGTTATTTCCGGGCTGGGCTCCTTGGATCTCTTTAATCTTATTTCCACATCAAAAATCCTCCACTGTTTCCCACTCTCCACATTCCAACCATTCCTTCTGCCCAGCGGGGCATGTTATCAACTCCACTTGGTCATTCCCAGTCACCCTGAAGAACACCACCCCCCATACTCGGGTGGGACAGTTGCCCCACAACCCGGCAACGCACCCCAGTTCATGATCGTGCATGTCAAATTCATCTCTATACCTACACCTGTATTCCAACTCCTATACGTAGCTCTCTTCCAACTATCAAGACTTCTGACGATCACAGCTGCAGGTGGAAACCTTGTTCTTGGAAGGTTAAAATTCAGTCGCCATTTTGTATTCTGCACTGAGGTTATTAACCCCATTTCCCCAACTAAACTGTGAAGTTCTTTTTTTTTTT